TCATTTTTGTTTTCTGTTAGGAAAATAATGCTTAACTTGGTTTAATAGCTATGGGACATTAAATTTATATCAGATGAATTACAACTCTTGAAATTTTTCTTTTTCTTTTTTTTCTGTTTGAGACAGAGTTTGGCTCTTGTCTCCTAGGCTGGAGTGTAGTGACATGATCTTGGCTCACTGTAACCTCCACCTCCCAGGTTCAAGCAATTCTCCTGCCTCAGCCTCCCATGTAGTTGGGATTACAGGCACCTGCCACCATGCCAGGCTAACGTTTGTATTTTTAGTAGAGGCAGGGTTTCCCAATGTTGGGCAGGCTGGTCTCAAACTCCTGAGGTGATCCACCTGCCTCGGCCTCCCAAAATGCTTGGATTACAGGTGTGAGACACTGCCCGGACCCTTTCTTTGATTTTTAAAGCATATCCATTACTTTTTAAGGACTGTAGTAAGAAATACAGTCTAGGCCAGGCACAGTGGCTCATGCCTGTAATCCCAGCACTTTGGGAGGCTGAGATGGACAGATTGCTTGAGTCCAGGAGTTTGAGACCTGCCTGGACAACGTGGTGAAACCCTGTCTCTACAGAAAATGCAAAACTTAGTTGTGCATGGTGGTGTACACTTGTAATGCCAGCTACTCAGGAAACTGAGGTGTGGAGGATTGCTTGAACCCTGGAAGTAGAGGCTGCAGTGAGCCATGAGTGTGCTGCTGCACTCCAATCTGAGCGACAGAGTGAGACCCTGTGTCAGAAAAACGAAACAAAGCAATCTAAACTAAACTCACTTCATAAATGGCTCTTATGAAAAAGTAATTTAAAACATGACCTTTCCATGTTTGTGATTTTAGACACTTTATTTCAGAACTAGTAACTTGCAAAATTACCATGGATTTCAGTTTCAGTTGTTTATTACTACTTTTTTTTTTTTTTTAAGTGTCAGAGTATTGCTTTGTCACCCAGGCTGGAGTGCAGTGGCACACTCATGGCTTACTGCCGCCTTGAACTCCTGGGCTCAAGTGATCCTCCTGCCTTAGCCTCCCGAGTAGCTGGGACTACAGGCATGTGCCATCATGCCCAACTAAGGTTGTTTTTTTTTCTTCCCCTTCCACCAACTCACTTCAAATAATCTGCTAGGTTTTAAAACACTTTTTTAGAGTGGGGGGTGTCGCTGTGTCTCCCAGGCCAGTCTCAAACTCCTGGCCTCACTAGGCCACTGGCCCACTCTCAAGTAGCTGGGATTACTGATGTCAGCTACTGTGCCTAGCTCCTATTACTTTTTATTTTGAAAAACGTTCAGGAATTGTTGAGAAAGTACAGAAACATAAATCATAAATTTCTCCCTGGAAGGCTGTGCTGACGATCCAAATAATTTTATCCTACACAACTATTTAGCTATAAAATCTTTAGCTATCAGATTAATTTCTCCCTATGAGCTAGGAAAACTGGAGTGTCCAGAGAAAATACTTAGGATAGTAAATTACATTTAACTCCTCAGCATTGGCAGCTGTTGTGGACTGAATGTTTGTCAGATTTATATCTTGAAGCCCTACCGGCCTACACGTGGCTGTATTTGGAGATGGGACCACTAAGGAAGTAATTAAGGTTAAGTGAGGTCCTAAAGGTAGAGTGCTGATCTGATAGGATTAGTGTCCTTATAAGAAGATTCAGTTAGCTTGCACTTGCTTCCTCCCTCTCTTTTATACAGAGGACAGGTGTGGTGATGACATAGCAAGAGGATGGCTTTTGCAGTCTAAGCAGACTAAAACAGGCTGCCATAACAAAATAGCACAGACTGGTGGCTTAAATAATGGAAGTTTATTTCTCACAGCTCTGGAGCCTGGGAAGTCCAAGATCAAGGTACCAGCAGATTTAGTGTCTGGTGAGGGCTCTCTTCCTGGCTTACAGACAACTGCCTTCTTACTGTGTCCTCACATGGCCTTTCCTCTGTGATTCATCCTTCTGCCTTACCTTCTACAGCCATTGCATTACCAGTCTGCTGATTCTCTTCCCTCAGTAGTTTTCAAATTCATCCCATCTTTTTCTTCCCTACTAACTACAGCTCTGGTTCCAGCCCTTTCTGTATGACTACAATAGTCTGTCAGATCAATTCATATTCCATGTGTTCTTATCTCATCAGAGTAATTATCCTGACATATAAATTTGCTTATTTAAATTTTTCTGTGGTTCCCTCTTGTCTGTGGATAACTTCTAAGCTTTATAATACGGTCCCTGCCTATCTCTGTAGCTTCATCTACTAGCAAGCATTCTGATAGTATGTGTAACATCAAACTACTTTCGGTTTTCCTCCCAATCCCTGAAGAATTTTACTTTGTTTCTTCCATTACTTTTGCCTGGCATGGGAAGGGAGGGTCCTTTATTCCTACCCTTTTTATCTAAGGAACTTACCCATTCTCACTTTTTGCATAACTTCCATCTCATTTCTCCTCCCAGCCCCAGGTGTCCCTTCTCTGTCCCCTCCAGAATATTCTCAGCATCTCTCATTACATGGTTAAGTTGTTTTTAGTTTAGTTTAGGTGAATGTTTACTTCTTTTATGTAAAGATCTGGTCATATTCATTTTAGTGCCTAAAACAATGTCTGGCTCATATTGGGTGTTCATATGTTGGTAGAGTAACCAAACATCCAGAAAGTAAAGGTGACTTTCAAGATCAGGTCACGTAGAGGGGACAAAACTGAGACTGGAAGACGAGTACCTCTTTTATTGCCTCATACTGCAGAACAGTGCTCCTTAGGGTACAGCATAAAACTGGATAAGTACAATATCTATTGTGCAATTACTAAGTCAATTTAAGCTCATTTGCTTATAATTAAGATGATTAAATTTTGCTTTATAAATCAAATTTTTACAAATCGTATATATGGGGGCCAATGGTGCATGAATAGTTTTGCATGAAATTCATATAGTAACAAACAGTTAAAACAGTTAGATAGGAAAGTCACAAGGAAGAAACAAAAATGGGCTTTTAGAGATCATACTTTGATAGTTAAAATTATTGTGACATTTCCCAGGCATACTGTTTAAAAGATTAATTGGGCTGGGCTTGGTGACTCACGCCTGTAATCACAGCACTTTGGGAGGCCAAGGCAGGTGGATCATGCAAGGTCAGAAGTTCAAGACCAGCCTGGCTACCATGGTGAAATCCCATCTCTGCTAAAAATACAAAATTGCTGGGCATGGTGGTCCACACCTGTAATCCCAGCTACTCAGGAGGCTGAGACAGGAGAGTTGCTTGAATCCAGGAGGCAGAGGTTGCAGTGAGCCGAGATCGCACCATTGCACTCTAGCCTGGGAGACAAGAATGAAATTCCACCTTGGAAAAAAAAAAAAAAAGACTATATGAGCTGTAGTATGGAAGATCTAAGGATGGAAATGGCCAAATTTGAAAAATTGCATTGTAGCTTAATAAATGCTTGAATCAAATTTGCGTGCAACTTACATATTGTGATTCTTGTGCCTTCAGGTTCTTCTGTTTTCCGTAGCATATTGCAGTAATCACTTGGGCTTTAGAAACTGAGACCCATATATTGATTTGCAAAAGGATAGAGAAATATATTTTGGTCTGGGTACATTCTCAATTTCAGGATTTTTTTTTTTTTTTTTTTTTTTTTTTTTTTTTTTTTTTTGAGACAGAGTCTTGCTCTGTGACCCAGACTGGAGTGCAGTGGTGCGATCTAGGCTCACTGCAACCTCCACCTCCTAGTCTCAAGCTATTCTCAGCCTCCCAAGTAGCTGGGATTACAGATGTGTACCACCATGCCTGGGTAGTTTTTGTATTTTTAACAGAGGTTTTGCCATATTGGCCAGGCTGGTCTCGAACTCCTGGTCTCATCTGATCCTCCCACCTCGGCCTCCCAAAGTACTGCGATTAAAAGCATGAGTCACTATGCCTGGCCTCAGATTTTTTTAAAGACGTGTAAGTTTTAGAGCCAGGCACGGTAGCACACGCCTGTAATCCCAGCACTTTTGGAGGCCGAGATGGGCAGATTGCCTGAGCTCAGGAGTTCAAGACCAACCTGGGCAACACAGTGAAACCCCATCTCTGCTAAAATACAAGAAATTAGTGTGGTGGCCTGCACATGTAGTCCCAGCTACTCAGGAGGCTGAGGCAGGAGAATTGCAAGAACCCGGGAGGCAGAGGTTGCAGTGAGCCGAGATCATGCCACTGCACTCCAGCCTGGGTGACAGAGCAAGACTCCATCTCAAACAAAAAAAAAAGAATTAGAAGTTTTAGAAATGAGGCATCAAAAAAGAAAAAGCGACAGAAAGCTGAAATAGCAAGGTCATGATTAAGATCATTGGATACATAGGATATGAGTTGAATTTTTCATAGCCCCTTTTATTAAAATCATTTTTTATTGCATTTTAGGTTTTGGGGTACATGTGAAGAACATGCAAGATTGTTGTATAGGTACATACGTGGCAGTGTGATTTGCTGCCTTCCTCCCCTTCACCTATATCTGGCATTTCTCCCTATGCTATCTCTCCCCAACTCCCCACCTCCTGCTGGCCCTCCCCTATTTCCGCCCAACAGACCCCAGTGTTTTAAAATATATTATTGACCCTAGTACTCTACAAAGCTTAGTACATTTTTTACTTAAATAAATTCCAAATAGGCTAAAAGCCTACTGACAGTATTGACAGTAGCAATGATGATGTAGGTGTCACCTGGGTTTAGTCGTGAGAAAACTCAAACCGTAGTGTCACAGATGCTACCCTTTAGCTTTGCATGCCCAGAATACGATTTAATAACAAAGAGAGTGGATCCGTCTTCTGGGGGGGGTGTATTTTGACTAAGATCATTTAAGTTTTATATTATTATTGAGAGAAACAGTTTGTCCTGTTAATTTTCTTGTTGTGTTTCAAAGTCATTGAGACTAAGAACTTATACTTTAGCACTAAGAACTGTGCCTGGCACCCAATAGGCATTTAATTGATATTTGTTAAATAATGTTAATAATACTCAAGGTCTGTGTTTTGTTCATGCAGGTTGATCCAAAAGACTACATGTTCAGTGGACTGAAGGATGAAACAGTAGGTCGCTTACCTGGGACAGTAGCAGGACAACAGTTTCTCATTCAAGACTGTGAGAACTGTAACATCTATGTTTTTGATCACTCTGCTACAATTACCATTGATGACTGTACTAACTGCATAATTTTTCTGGGACCAGTGAAAGGCAGTGTGTTTTTCCGGAATTGCAGAGATTGCAAGTGCACATTAGCCTGCCAACAATTTCGTGTGCGTGATTGTAGAAAGCTGGAAGTCTTTTTGTGCTGTGCCACTCAACCCATCATTGAGTCATCCTCAAATATCAAATTTGGCTGTTTTCAATGGTACTATCCTGAATTAGCTTTCCAGTTCAAAGATGCAGGGCTAAGTATCTTCAACAATACATGGAGTAACATTCATGACTTTACACCTGTGTCAGGAGAACTCAACTGGAGCCTTCTTCCAGAAGATGCTGTGGTTCAGGACTATGTTCCTGTACCTACTACTGAAGAGCTCAAAGCTGTTCGTGTTTCCACAGAAGCCAATAGAAGCATTGTTCCAATATCCCGGGGTCATAGACAGAAGAGCAGCGATGAATCATGCTTAGTGGTATTATTTGCTGGTGATTATACTATTGCAAATGCCAGGAAACTAATTGACAAGGTAAGGAGAAAGAGAAAAGAAATAGTCATACACCTAGATTTAAAAATGGACCACTCTGGAATACTTACATTCTTTTCAAATTGGCTATTTGAAATATAGGCAACTGCTGGGTGTGGCAGCTCATGCCTGTAATCCCAGCACTTTGGGAGGCCAAGGCAGGTGGATCATGAGGTCAGGAGTTCAAGACCAGCCTGGCCAAGATGGTGAAACCCTGTCTCTACTAAAAATACAAAAAATTGCCGGATGTGGTGGCACACGCCTGTAATCCCAGCTACTCGGGAGGCTGAGGTGGAGAATTGCTTAAACCCGGGAGGCAGAGGTTGCAGTGAGCCAAGATTACACCACTGCACTCCAGCTTGGTGACAGAGCGAGACTGCATTTCGAAAAAAAGAAAGAAATAAGAAATACAGGCAACCCTCAAGTTATAGTCCTTTGCCTCCACCCCCTGAACCAATAGATTTGTCTGTAAGTAGATTGCTTGGGCCTTAAAATACTTTCTCAAAGAAACTTAAAAAAAAAATTCAATTCAGTAAGCATTAAGCACCTATTTTTTTTTTTTTTTTTTTTTTTTAGACAGAATTTTGCTCTTGTCATCCAGGCTGTGGAATGGTATGATCTCAGCTCTCTGCAACCTCCGCCTCCTGGGTTCAAGTGATTCTCCTGCCTCAGCCTCCCAAGTAGCTGGGATTACAGGCACGCACCACCACGCCCAGCTAATTTTTGTATTATTAGTAGAGATGGGGTTTTACCATGTTGGCCAGGCTAGTCTTGAACTGCTGACCTCAGGTGATCCGCCCGTCTCGGCCTCCCAAAGTGCTGGGATTACAGGTGTGAACCGCTGTGCCCAGCCAGCACCTGTTATGTGCTAGTTACTATTATCATATTTCACTGATGATAAGATGCCTATTTGTTTTCCAAGGTTTTGCTTATGTGGAATGCATCTTATAATTGATAGCAACTTAGAAATGACAAACTACAGTATATGCTAGAGATGAAGGTAAATACACAAAATTCTTTGCCCTTAAAGAGTTTCCATGGCCGGGCACGGTGGCTCAAGCTTGTAATCCCAGCACTTTGGGAGGCCGAGGCGGGTGGATCACGAGGTCAAGAGATCGAGACCATCCTGGTCAACATGGTGAAACCCCGTCTCTACTAAAAATACAAAAAAATAGTGTGTTGGGGGGTGGCGCATGCCTGTAATCCCAGCTACTCAGGAGGCTGAGGCAGGAGAATTGCCTGAACCCAGGAGGCGGAGGTTGCAGTGAGCCGAGATCACGCCATTGCACTCCAGCCTGGGTAACAAAAAGCGAAACTCCGTCTCAAAAAAAAAAAAAGAGTTTCCATGATTTCTGGAGAAGCTCCCAAAAGTAGTACTGCTTAGCAAAGCATGACAGTTTATAATTATTTAGTGGGGAAATTTCTTTGCTCCCAAATGTAGTACTGCTTAGTAAAGCATGACATTTTATAATTATTTAGTGGGGAAATTTCTTTGGAGTTCTAATTGGTTAGGGGGTAGAAAATGCATTTTTGGTGGCGGGGGGATGAAGTCTTGCTCTGTTGTCAGGCTGGAGTGCAGTGGTGCCATCTCAGCTCACTGCAGCCTTTATTTCCCAGGTTCAAGTGATTCTCCTGCCTCAGCCTCCCAAGTAGCTGGGACTACAGACAGGTGCCACCACACCCAGCTAATTTTTTTGAATTTTCAGTAGAGACAGGGTTTCACCATGTTAACCAGGATGCCTTCGATCTCTTGACCTTGTGATCTGCCTGCCTCAGGCCTCCCAAAGTGCCGGGATTACAGGCGTGAGCCACTGCGCCTGGCTGAAAATACATTTAGGAATAAATACCTTTGAACCCTGTTGTGACTGTGAGAGCAACCTCCACATTATGTTCCTTATTTTCCTGTACTCTATTGCCATAGAAGGGAGCTTTGTGTAGAAGAGTGAGATGGAAGCTAGGTTGGCAAAGTTTATAGGCTTATGAACAGTGGGTCTTGGTGAGCTCATGAGTAGAGAAGGTTTCTAGGGTAGCAACTTCTGCTTGAAAAATAATTGAAGATAAAGGGGTTAGGGGCTCCAGAAGCAGCAGTTCCTTTGTTGGTGGATGCTCCAGTGGGAAGGCAGCAGTAGGATATATTGATTATCCATTCATCAGGTTCCTTCAGGAGGAATCTGTTTGAATTTAAAAATCAAACTTACAGAAATGGAGAAGTGAATGGAAAAACTCATCAAGTCTCTTTTTATTTTTTTGAGAGAGAGTGTAGCTTTGTCTCCCAGGCTGGAGTGCAGTGGCAGGATCTTAGCTCACTGCAACCTCTGCCTCCCGAGTTTAAGCGATTCTCCTGCCTCGCCTTCTGGGTAGGTGGGATTATAGATGCTTGCCACCATGCCCGCTAACTTTTGTATTTTTAGTTGAGACAGGGTTTTGCCATGTTGGTCAGGCTGGTCTTAAACTCCTGACCTCAAGCAGTCTACCCGCCTTGGCCTCCCAAAGTGCTGGGATTATAGGTGTGAGCCACCACGCTCAGATGTCTCTTTTTGAATGGATTTTTTTAAAAGTTGGAACATATCAAAAGGAAAGATTTTAGGAAAATATTAAAAATGAATACCTCTTAATAGCTGTACATTCTACAATGTAGAAAACCCATGTAGAAATGTATGAAATCAAGAAAGTATATCTGAGGTGTAGTTTTTAAACCAACAGAAGCCAAAGTATAATTTTAAGACTTTTAGATTTTCTTTTTTGCTTATGCTAATGTGATAAAAACATTCTATGAATCTGGTAAGATATAGAAAAAGGTGCTTCTGGCTTTTGAGCTATCTGATCACATGTTAATTCAATATCTGAGAGGTAAATGCTTTTATTATACTCTATGGTGATTTTTTTTTTAACTACATACAGTTTTCAAAATATGTAATTATTTAGGTTAAACTCCTTTTTCGTAGGTAATGAGGAATGGACATAAATAATATTTAGCATGTTTAAAGAAAACCATCAAAACAGTGTTTCTTCTTGAGTCATCAAATGTTCTTTAACCTTTTAACCTTTAGTATCTGGTATGTGAAATGGCAGTGTTTGTGTGCCCTTGAAAAGAATATGATGAGGAAGAATGATGTCCTTTAGATGTCCTCTGGAATACAATACAAATAATCCCAGAGCGATAATAATAACTAACACTTACGTAGTAAATACTGTATGCCGGGCACTATTGTAAGGAATTTAAATTAATTAACTCAATACTCAAAACAACTCTATGAAATAAGTGCTATTATTCCCCATTTTACAGTTATGAAAAATAGACCATAAAGAGGGTAAGTACCTTGCAAAAGGTCATTCAGCTGGTAAACAGCAGAGCCATGATTCCAGTCTAGGCAGTCTGACTGTAGGCCACACCTTCACCCTTAAACATGATGCTGTTATGCTGCTTCAGTGGTAAAGGAAAGTTGCTGAATGCCTGCCTGGTGGAGTAGGAATGTGACTGAAAGCATGTGGACTCAAGGGCCTTCTGTTCTAGGGGCTATTTAAAAGGCTACAGTTATCCTATCTCATTCTGGCAGTACAGAATTAAGGAATGAAGAGAACAAACAAAAATAAAAAATAAAATGCCAAGTACATATGAAGAGGGTATCAAAATATGCTGAAAGACAGAAGACTTACATATTATATTGAGAGATTACCTTTTTTAATTAATTTATTTATTTATTTTTGAGAGATTACCTTTTTTAAAAAATGAAATGAGTTCTTAGGGAAATATGTATTAGAAACTACTGAATCTTGAGATGAAAAAAATAAAACTTGAGTCTTTCTCATGTCAAAATACAAATGTCAGGACAGCTTAGACTGAAACTGTGATTGCTAACTCTATATTTGTTAAACCACAGGAGGATCACAGAATTTTATTTCACATTGTTTTAATACATTAAATAATGAATTTTTTTGTGATAAGAAGTATAAAACTTGAGAGAGGGTAGGAAGTCCAAAAAGGCTGGGTAAAACAGAAAGTACATTCCATAGGGAGCCAAGAGAAGTTACTAAGCTTTGGTTTTCTCACCTAAAAATCAGATTCCTCGACTTCTCTTACCTACATCACAGATATGTACAGGATAAATTAAAGTAAAATAGTTTGAATTATTTAGGAGTATTTCATCATTTGAAATTGAAGTTGGTAGGTACCACTATTTTCAAGTCTTTAAAAGTAGAAGAATTTTCATGAAAAGGAGTCTCTCCAAATCTGCAGTGAAGTATTACAGTATAGTTTATTTAGGTAACAGTATTTTGAAGTAATCATCAAAATCTTATCAGTTTGTGTCTATAAAATTAGAGATGATAAACACTCTAGAAAATAGGTAGAATTGTTCCTGTTATTTTACAGTCATCTGGCAGTGATGTCCATGTAATTCTCTACAATTTTTAAATATGGGTTTTTTTGTTTTTTTGTTTGTTTGTTTTGGAGGCAGCATTGAATGAGGGTTCTGAAATAGGATTTGAGTTTGATCAAATTTAATGGAATGGTATGGAATAACTTAGCCACAGGATGAAATACTATCGGCCATTAAAACTGATTTCATGTAGAAAATGTCACAAGTAAGTGAAAATGTGTAGAATGTTATGTAAGTAACATTCTTTTTTAAAGTAGGTAAGTCTGGAAAGTTATAGATACTAAAATGTTAACAGTCATGCTTATTCTTAGGCAGTTAATTAAGAGCAGGGTTTTCTTTTTTTGCAGTTCTATGGATTTAACAATGAGCATATATTGTTTCTGTAATGGGAGAAAAAGAAAACTGGGAGGGTATATCTGTATGGCAGTAGCATCTTTTAGTTGTAGCACCCTGGTTGATATTCCTTTGTTTCTATTTTTTATTTTTCAAATGTTCTGTGTTGAGAATACATGTTACTTTTAATTATTGATCGATGATACACTGGACATGGAAAATGTGGCACATACACACCATGGAGTACTATGCAGCTGTAAAAACCAATGAGTTCGTGTCCTTTGTAGGGAGGGACGTGGATGAACCTGGAAACCATCATTCTCAGCAAACTGACACAAGAACAGAAAATCAAACCGCATGTTCTCACTCATAGGAGGGTGATGAACAATGAGAACACGTGGACACAGGGAGGGAAGCATCACACACTGGGGTCTGTCAGGGAGAAATAGGGGAGGGCCAGCAGGGGATGGGAAGTTGGGGAGGAATAGCATGGGGAGAAATGCCAGATATAGGTGATGGGGAGGAAGGTAGCAAACCACATTGCCATGTATATACCTATGCAACAATCTTGCATGTTCTTCACATGTATCCCAAAACCCAAAATGCAATAAAATACATATTTAAAAAAAAACTAACAAGCTTTGCTAAAAATTAAGTGATTGGAATGACTACATTTTTTTTTAAGAGACAGGGTCTTGCCCTGTTGTCCAGGCTGGAGTGTAGTGGTGAGATCATAGCTCAGTGTAGCCTCAAACTCCTGGGTTCAGAGGATCCTCCCACCTCAGCCTCCTGAGTACCTAGAACTACAGGCACATGCCACCACACCTGGCTAATTTTAAAATTTTTTACACTGTTGGTGGGAGTGTAAATTAATTCAACCATTGTGGAAGACAGTGTAGCGATTCCTCAATGACTTAAAAATAGAAATCCCATTTGACCCAGCAATCCCATTACTGGGTATATATCCAAAGGATTAGAAATCATTCTACTATAAGGACACATGCACACGAATGTTCATTGCAGCACTGTTTACAATAGCAAAGACCTGGAACCAACCCAAATGCCCATCGATGATAGACTGGATAGGGAAAATGTGGTACATATACACCATGGAATATTACGCAGCCATCAAAAACGATGAGTTTGCGTCCTTTGTAGGGACATGGATGAACCTGGAAACCATCATTCTCAGCAAACTGACACAAGAGCAGAAAATCAAACACCGCATGTTCTCACTCATAGGCGGGTGTTGAACAATGAGAACACATGGGGAGGGGAGCACTACACGCTGGGGTCCGTTGGGGGGAAATGGGGGAGGGATGGGGAGGTGGGGAGGTGGGAAGAGGTAGCATGGGGGGAAATGACAGATACAGGTGAGGGGACGGAAGGCAGCAAACCACACTGCCGTGTGTGTACCTATGCAACAATCTTGCCTGTTCTTCACATGTACCCCCAAACTTAAAATGCAATAAAAATAAAATTAAATTTAAAAAAATTTAAAAAAAAGAAAGAAAAAAGAAAAAAAAAATTTTTTATAGATGGGGTCTTGCTGTGTTGCCCAGGCTGGTCTCAAACTCCTGGTCTCAAGCGATCCTCCCATGTTGACCTCTCAGAACTCAGATAGCAGGTATGAGCCATGATGCTAGGCTGACTTTGCATTTTTAAAAACTACTTTCATAATTACTTTAAAAATTAATACATCCTTGTGGAGAATTATAGAAACAAGAAAGAGTAAAATAAGTTCAAAATCAATATATAATTGTACCATACCTTGTATAATCTTTTTAAGAATAATTTTTAAATTTATTTAAGAGACAGGGTCAGATTAACTAGGTTTGAATCACAGCTCTGTCACTTAATTGTTAAATGTCCTTGGGCAAGTCCCTTAATCACTGTGTGCCTTAGTTTTCACATCTGTACAATGAGGGTAATGATACCTACTTCATGGGAGGGTTAAACATATACCTGTAAAGTACATAAAGCTGTCTGCCACATAGTAAGTGCTCAGTAAGTGTGATCTACAGTTATTGTGCTATACTATATACATTTGTATCATGCTTTTTAAAATTAACATTATTGGCCAGGTACAGTGGCTCATGCTTTTAATTCCAGCATCTTGGGTGGCTGAGGCAAGAGGATGGCTTGAGCCCAGGAGTTCAAGATCAGCCTGGCAACATGGCAAGACCCTGTCTCTACAAAAAAAATTTTTTTAAAGTTAGCTGGGCACGGTGGCACGGGCCTGTAGGTCTAGCTACCTGGGAGGCTGAGGTGGAAGGATCGCTTGAGCCCAGGAGTTTGAGGCTGCAGTGAGATATGACTGCACAACTACATTCCAACCAGGGCAACAGAGTGAGACCCTGTCTCAAAAAAGAAAGAAAAAGAAACTATATAAAAGTAACATTATTACATAAGCTTTTCCCCATTTTATTATAACATCTTTGTTGTATTTAATGAACTATGATAAATGTAATGAACTGTGGCATTTCATCATGTGACTATACCATAATTTACTTAACCATTCTCTTCTCATTGGACATTTGCAGTATCACCAAACTAAAACTTCCATCTGGTAGCAGAAAAATTTTAATCATGTTTTAAACTCGAGAGGTAATTCACATTTATTTGACCCATCTGGCAGTACTAAGCCAGAACTACCCATCTGGAAGAAAGAAGCTCATATAGTGAGAACTTATTATCGCAAACACCCTGAATTAGACTTATAATTAAAACAAAAATCAGTGTGCTGTTGAGAAACACTAGAATAGGAAATCATTGTTTTAGTCTCAGAAATTTATTTGAAAATCTAAATGAAATTTTATTTTCACAGATGGTTGGTAAAGGCTTTTTTCTAGTTCAGACGAAGGAAGTGTCCATGAAAGCTGAGGATGCTCAAAGGGTTTTTCGGGAAAAAGCACCTGACTTCCTTCCTCTTCTGAACCAAGGTACCTTCTGGATGATTGGTATACTTTTGTGGTTATTTTCTTTACATGCTGATTTGATTTACTTTTGCCTTTAACATTTCTTTTGCGTTGCCTTCTCTTTCTCATTTGTTCTTTTTTTTTTCTATTATTGTTCAGAAATGTTAAAATTTCACATCACTCAAGGAGCCCTAGATAACTAACTAGAAATTAGGCATTCCTTTTTTTCCCTATCCTGTGTTCTTAGTACTGAAAGTCACATTTTATTATGTATCTTATTATTATTTTAATTATTATTGTATTATTGTTTTACCTATATAGTGTAGTGAGTAAACATTTCATGCTCCCTGCTCAGAGTTGCAAAGCACTTGATAAAGATTCTATCTACCTTCAGTGTGCTTTAATCATACTGGAAAAGAAATAAGAAATATAAAGTGGTATATTATTTTATGTATTTCATATGATTGATTAACTTCCCTTATATAATTAGAGTTGTTTTCCCTAATGGGTAAATGCCACCAGTAAATTTCAGATATTGGATATAGGTCTTCAAAGAGAGGAACTTAAGTATGTGTGCCCACCTGAAGGGTTACTGTCTGCCTACCTGTATTTGAAGGTGTATTAATTCTAGAGGACAGAGTATTCTTTATCTGTTCAGGGTGCGGACATTGTTTGCTGAAGGCTCATCAGGCTTTCCTTGACTGGCCTGAGCAAATATGTATAGTAATATGCAGTGTTGATTGAGTATACCTTAGAGAGGGGGCACATCTGCATTTTATGTGCTCTTTATGTATAAAAATATGATAATAAACTGTGAAAACCTGTATGAAATGTTAGAGGATTGTTAGGATAAGTAATGCTCATGTAACTGAGCTGGTAAGTATTAATGCAATATTTCATAATACTTTTGTGGTTACTGTAGTAGTAGTAGTAAGGACTTGTTCCAACCCTCTACATGAATCTACCCCAGAATATGTGTAGGAAATTCAGACCTGACCCCTTTGATGCAACCATTTTTACAAGGGAACATTTGGAAGCTTGAAAATGAACCTTTAACCTCTTAGCAGCTTTTGGAAATTGAATCAGGTAATAAGTGTATTGGACATCCTAAAGTGTGAGAGTTAGTAATAAAGTGAGCATGTCGGCAGGTCTAAATTAATGATTTATGTACTTGTGTGATGTTAGTGAAGTAGTATTACAGAATTGCTCCAACCCAAATATAGTATCTGCATTTAAGTAACAGAACATTCCACATGGAAGAAGTAAAATGTTCTGTTGCTGCAAAAAGTAGAACTAAAACCAATAAGCAGATGTTGCAGGAATTTCAGCAAATAAACATTGTATAAACAAGTCTTAGCCTGTAGGAGGTGTTCAAAGACAGATGAGTTCATATCAAAAGATCATAGGAACCAGCTTGAAGGAGTTTTCCATGGGCCAAATTTGGGACAATTAAAAAGAATACTGGGACTGGATGTAGTGCCTCAAACCTGTAATCCCAGCATTTTGGGAGGGTGAGGTGGAAGGATTGCTTAAGGCCAGGAGTTTGAGATGAACCTGGACAACATAGCAAGACCCTATCTCTACAGAAAATACAAAAATTAGCTGGGGGTGATGCACATTTGTCGTCCCAGCTACTCAGGAGGCTGAGGTGGGAGGGTCACTTGAGCCCAGGAGCTTGAGGCTGTAGTGAGCCATGATCATGCTGCTGCACTATAGCCTGGGCAACAGAGCAAGAGTTTGTCTCAAAAAAAAAGAGAAGAATGAAGGTAATGATTTAACAACAGAAATCTGTGCATCCATATTGTTAACCAAAAAGGGGAGAAAGGAATGTTCATCTGCTCTTTACAGAATACTGTGAGCTAAAAAATGCAAAAGGAATGATGGACTTTGGAAATCATCATTTTCCAAGGCCAGTGTAATAATTATTTCAGACAAAGATTATCAGTGGGTGGTAAAACTATTGGGCTAAAAGTTGCCAAGAAGTAGGATAGTTATACATCCTAATTCAAAGGGGAAGTGTACCTTTACAGCAGAGATTAGGTGATCACCATGTTAACCCAGTGATCAAACAGCATCACTGATGGACACCCTAACATTGTGTTACTCGTGATGTGATGAAGTGAAAAATATGCAACATCACCTGTAGAGTGTTCTTGCCCAAGTAACCTGAATCTAATTGAGCCAAGACTTAACTTCTAGTTTGTAGGAAGAAAAGAAATATGTTAAATGACACCACAAGGAAATAATAAGACAAATCCAAAATAGAAGACTTTCTACAAGACAACTGGCTAGGTCTCTTCAGACAGTGTAATGGAAAACAAAAAAGATAGAGGAATTATTCTGGATTAAGAGACTAAAGAGACATAACAACTAAATGCAATGAGTGAACCTTGATTGGATCTTAGGTTCGGTTGGAGTGAGCTGTAAAAGGCATTTTTGGGACAAGTTGTGGAGTTTGAAGATGCGATAGAATTATCTTTAATATCCTTTGGTATGTTAATGGTGCTGTAGTTATGTAGGAGCTACATGATGAAGTGTCCTCATGTCTGCTACTTTCAAATGACTCAGCAAAACAAAGCATATATGTGCAGATACATGGTGTTTATTGTGTAATAAAGCAAATGTGGACAAATGTTAGCTTTTGGTGGTGTAGGTGAAAGGCAAATGTATATTTATGCTATTCTTTCAACTCTTCTATAATGTATAGAAATTTTCAAAATAATAAGTTGCGGAAAACTTTTAAGCTACTCAGCAATGGAATAGTGAGTAGACTGGCAGTGGAAATATTCTAGCAGGAGTTGGATGGACTGGGCCCTTATCTAAAAGTGGCCATCAGTCATTCTAAGGCGGGGTGTCTCAACCTTGGCACTATAGACATTTTAGGCCAGGTAATTTTTTGCTATGAGAGGCTATTCCGTACCTTACAAGATGTTTAGCAGCATCTCTGGCCTCTACCCAGTAGATGCCAATAAAACACCACCCCAGTTGCGGCAACCAAAAATGATTCCAGATGTTGCCAGATGTCCCTAGGGCTATGGGAGGGAGGCAGAATTGCTGCCAGTTGAGAACTACTGTACTGAACTAAGAGTGGTCTTATTTATTTATTTTGAGAATTCACATGTATCTTAAATAGTTTGCACCTCAGAGTCTCTCAGTTTTCCTCTTCAGTTGTAATAGTCACATTTATTTTAAATATTTAAATATTTAAAGCTATTTAACTGCTTAGTAAGATAATTCATTGTTTTTCATCATGAGGATCTCCAGATGTGACTAATCCTCAGAACTATCTAGGGTCCTTTTAAAAACATAATTTTCAGCCAGGCATGGTGGCTCACACCTGTAATTCCAGCACTTTGAAAGGCTGAGGCAGGTGGATTGCTTGAGCCTAGGAGTTCAAGACCAGCCTGGACAACATGGCAAAACCCCATCTCTACAGAAATTAGCTGGGAATGGTGGTGTGCGCCTGTAGTCCCAGCCACTTGGAGGCTGAGATGTGAGGATCACCTGAGCCCAGGGAGGTTGAGGCTGCAGTGACCCATGATCACACCACTGCACTCCAGCTTGGGCAACAGAGCAAGACCTTGTCTCAAATACATAAATACATAAACAAAATTTCTTTTTTCTTTTTTTTTGAGACAGGGTCTTACTCTGTTGCCCAGGCTGGAGTGCAATGATACAATCTTGGCTCATTGTAACCTCCGTCTCCGGGGCTCAAGCAATCCTCCTGCCTTTGTCTCCTGAGCTCAAGCAATCCTCTCACCTCAGCCTCCCAGGTATCTGGGACTACAGGCGTACACCACCATTCCTGGCTAATTTTTGTATTTTTTGTAGAGAACGGCGTTTTGCCATGTTGCCCAGGCTGGTCTCGAACTCGTGAGCTCAAGTGAATCTTTCTGCCTCAGCCTTCCAAAGTGCTGAGATTACAGGCGTGAACCACCGAGCCCAGCCAGTAAACAAGTTTTCTACTCCTACCCCAGAAAGCCTGATTCAAAAATCTTTGAGATGTACCCTTGGAATATTTCTTTTTTGATTAGTCAGACTTGGGTACTTTTGTTTTAGGGAGTCATTCATTCATTTATTCAACAAAGTAGATGAGGTCTTAGAAGTAGGGGAGAGAGAGAGTCAGCTAATATAGGGACTTGTAAGCCACTGTAGAGACTTTGGCTTCTGTAGTAGTCTGAGTGAGATGAGATGCTGCTGGACATTTGTGGGCTTTTTTAAAATAAACTTTTTATATTGGAATGATTTTAGGTTTACAGAAAAATTGCAAAGATAGTACAGAAAGTTTCCGTATATCCCTTACCCAGCTTCCCTAAATGTTAACATAACCATAGTACATTTGTCAAAGCTAACAAATTTACATTGGTAAAATGCTAACTTAAACTACAGACTTTATTCAAATTTTACCAGTTTTTCCACTTATGTCCTTTTTCAGTTCCAGAATTCAATCCAAGATCCCACATTGCTTTTTGTTGCCATGTCTCCTTAATTTCCTGTGACAGATGTGACAGTTCTTCAGTCTTTCCTTGTTTTTCATAATCTTGAAACTTTTAAACAGTAGTGGTCAATTATTTTGTAGAATGTTCCTCAATTTATGTTTATCTAACATTTTCCTCTGGTTAGACTAGGGTTATGGGTGTTTAGGAAGAGGCAAAGTGCCTTTCTCATCACATGACATCACAGGGCACACGATGTCAATATGAGGTGGTATCTGCCAGATTTCTCTGCTGTAAAGTTTCCATGTTTCCCTTTCCATACTCCGTTCTTTGAAAATGAGTCACTAAGACCAGTACACAATCAAGGAGTGTAGATTTAAGCTCTTCCATCTGGAGAGAGGAATATCCACATGCATTATTTGGAATTCTGTAAGAAAGATTTGTCCTGGCCCGGCGTGGTGGCTCATGGCTGTAATCCCAGCACTTTGGGAGGCCAAGGTGGGTGGATCATGAGGTCAAGAGATCAAGACCATCCTGGCCAACATGGTGAAACCCCATCTCTACTAAAAATACAAAAATTAGCTGGGC